GACTTCCTTACAAACCGTAACGTACCTTACTATTTAAGTTTAGGTATCCGAGTCGTCGGTAGTCTGGTAGGGTCCGGTGGGTTCGAATCGCACGTCCACCAAACATGCTCGCCCTTTCAGCCGTGGGGGCATTATAGTGTGATGGTCAATCCCACTATTCGTTGGTAAAAGAGTAGCCCAAGAGTTGGCGGTGGGTGGTGATGACTAGCTGCCTTCCCTCTAGTCTTACCCTGCTAAATTAGGGACGGCTAGTGCAGATAGCCCTCGTGTAGCTTTGCGCGAAATTTAAAAAACTAACCAAAAAAAAACATTCGTAGAAATACTCTTATTAGTACTGTACGTGAGTTATTTGAATATATACATATTTCCCATTTTAAGCATTTACAGCAAATATTATTTGTTATTCCCGAAACTTACCATCCTCAATGTATATCATGGTTTATTCAGCTTAGCAATGGTAACACTATCCTTTATTAAAATGCTAGTGAAGCATCTGGAAATTTTCGAGGAAATTTCACAATTGCTTCAAGAGTTTTAATACTGAAAAGTACTTAGAATAAAAGCTTAGGGGTTTTAATATAAGCAAGCAAGTAAAGATAGATATAAGAAGAAAAAGAGGCGACAATGGGACGCCTGTGTTACGAAATAAGCCTTGAGAAATTAATAAACAGGAACTTGGTTATACAAGAGGCATCATTCAGAAGTAAGCAGCAAAACACATGCAGTACTTAAAAATAAGTTTGAGAGGCGAGCCTGGAAATCAGTGACTCAGGGTCAATAGCAGAGTTAGTAAGAACTATTGCATAACAAACAGGATGTGGACGCTAATACATGTGACAGTTTGATGAAGTGTTGGCCTCGCTCTCTTAGCACTAGGAAAGGAGCAGAAAAGTTTAGATTTGGTGAATCATATCGGCACTTTGAGGCAGTATTAGTTACAGCCCATGGGTGTAGCAGTACAAGTGAGTAGGCGGCCGGCTAAAGCCACTTATCTATGACCAATAACTTGAGAGTTTTGGTTTAGGTTCTGGATTAGCCCGGGAATTCCCCTAAAGTATCCAATAGGAGCACAGGACTACTTGTGGGTGATGCTGTGTCCTATTTGGTGGGTCAAATTAACACAAGGAAATTAGAGTTTAAAAACCCATGTCAGAGGCTGAGATATCAGCTCCCGCCGAAGTTCTCTCGAGGAAGAAATTCTCCAAACTGAAAATGAAGTTGAAGTTTACTAACGTCGCTACAGCTTCCAAAACTCCAACTTTACTATAAATATAGTCTCTCTCTCTGTCTTGATCAGCTAGTGTAGAAAATATTAAGTTTAAACAGTAAAGTTTTTTATAACTTACATTTTAACTGTGTAATGATTTTATTGATGTTAAATAAATATTATTTTGAGTGTATACTGTTGGTCTGAGACTCCTATTCTTTAATGTCACTGTAAACTCCTCGAGTTAGCGACTTGTGGCTCCACTCGTCACGACAAATCCTCCAATAAATAAATTTGGTGTAAAGGGTAGTTTTAATTGAAACTCCAACAATTAAGCTCACCTGAACGCTACCTTTTACATGAGTCATAGGAATACACGGCAAAACCTGGTGGTGGAAAAAGGCGATAAAAATCTTCAACACACCAAACAGGTCTGGCTTATTCTTGAGGAAGAGAGGGCAAGCTCAGGAGATGATAGTTGACCCATATAATGATCAATCTCCTCTGCGAATAATCTCGGATAAATCCAATGACAAGTCATCCCCACTTGTCACCAGTGAAAAAGTGTTTGTAGGAGGTGCGATACCCAAAGTGGTAACATTAAATTAGGAATTCATGGTGAATAATAAATCAAACACATAGTTTGACAGATAAATACAAATGTGCAAGAGTGCATGTGCATGATAATCGAGTCAAGCGAGCAGTAGACTCCTTAAGAAAGTGTGTGAATCACTGTGAATTATAGCGTGTGTTTATAAAAGTAGTTAAGTTTAAAGTGACTGTGGAA